CCACCAGCAGCTGCCAGCCCCGGTGGTGGGGCCCCCAGGGGAGCCACAGGACACCAAGAGGCAGTGACGGTGGGAATGGGAATGGGGATGGGGATGGGAAGCGAGGTGCGAAGCGGTACCCCCCACCCAACCCCGCTCCTACCCATGGGGCTTACCCTGTCAGGCAGCAGGGCGCTGGCAGGAGCCCACCGCAGGCAGGGAGGGGCTAGAAAAGGCCCAGAGCACAATGCCCCACCTGTGTCCACTCTCTCCACAGGATGCAGAGTGGGGTCTCCATGGGGTGGGGAGGTCTCCTGGCACGTACCAGCACCCCAACCCCCAGCCAGGTTGTTTCTAGAAAGCCGCCCTCTGGAGAAAAGCCACCTTTGCCTCCTCCCAAACCTCACGGTCATGGTGCCCTGTCACCCAGCGCAGCCCTTGATGTAGGGACCAGCCTGCCCCAAAAACCTGTCAGAAACCCTCCCCAAAATCCCTCCCAGCAGGCAGCACATGGAGCGGTGGTGGCTCGACAGCCAGGTGGGGAGGTGCTAGGGAAAATAAGAGAGGGGTTTTAAGGCCCCTTGAGCAGGGTGGTCCATGAAGCAAGCAGAGAGCAATGCTCAACAGGAACAAAAGCAAAGTGCACCATCAAACGGTGGCCATGGGATGCCACCAACGTGAGTGCGCTTAAAAACACTGGCTAACCGGAGGGCTCCGAAATATGATGTCATTGTCCCCACCACAGCATCTTTGCAGGGCGCGAGAGGCCAAAAGCCACTTGAGCTTGGGGAGCTGGTCCCCAGGGATTCCTCCTGGTGCGGTGCGTGCCGTGGGGCTGGTGATGCTCGGTCTGGAGGGGATGCTGGTCCCCATGGTCTCCATCCTTCCTCCCGTAGGACCTCCCTGGACCGGGAGAGGGCAGGCCCGGGGGGAAGTCGATGTGCTCCCCCCCACGCCTCCCTTCCCTCGGCCAAACGCGTGGCAAGGGAGCCCGTTCAGCACAACCAACCCCCTCCTCAATTTTCCCCAGTCCCCGACACACACACACAAACTTACTCAAAAACGAGAAACAACCTCAGAAACAGGCTTTTTTCCCGAGCCGGGGCGGTGCCACCCATAAGTGACC